GTCTCCCGTGCATGGTGTGCGTGTGCGGTTGTTGTTTATGTTAGGCTGGGAGAGGCGTGCAATCATGTTGCTGCCCTACTCTTCTTCATTGAATCCGCTGCAAAAAGGAATCTAGTGGAGCTACCCGTGGAGTTGTCTAAAACGTCACAACCTATGCGCTGGAATCAGCCTCCAAAGAAGCATGTCGATCCTCAGCCACTCGCCAATATGGAGTTTGTGAAAGCTTGCCATGGCATGACTGATGATGAAGTGGAGAGGAAGCAGCTGCGAGCGGAGTTTGATCCCCGTGCACCGTCACACCGCCAAGTCACATCTGCTGACGCACTCACCTTGCAGGAGGCATTAGCAGCGGGAAAGGCATCAGCCAAGAACTGTGGGTTCTTCCATTTCTGGGAAGTCGAAGACCAGTCATCAGGACTTGCTGCTACTCCAGTTAGCCAACCCAAGGACCTTTCGCCATTGGTCCTGTTCCATTCTGACAGGCTTCCAGGTGGAACGAGTGAAGATGCCCTTGGTCGATATACCGGACCACTGTCCAAGTACGGTGTATCCCAAAAGGAAGTGGAAGACTTCACCAAAGGCCAGACAGACAACTCGTGGTGGTTCGACCTACGTCATGGGCGCCTAACTAGCTCACGATTTGGTGACATCGTTCGCTCTCGAGCCCAGGAGCCAGTCTCGCTGCTGGCCGGTATCATGGGATACACCACCATTTCCGCTTTGCCACCTGCCATGCGATGGGGAGTGGAGAATGAGCCCAGGGCGAGGGACATGTACCTCAGTGTGGCACTCGAAGATGGAAAGAACATCACCGTAAGAGAGTGTGGTCTTAGCCTCCATCGTGACTACCACTTCATTGGTGCGAGTTCTGATGGAATCGTTGTGGAGGAGCTTGAGAGCGGCGTGGTGGAGCGTGGCTGCCTGGAAATAAAATGCCCCTTCTCCATCCAGGGCACATCTATTGTTAACCTCACGCCAACTCGGATCGCCCAGCAATTCCCTGGCAAGTCATTCTTGGAATGCCACGCGGACGGGTCAGCCCACTTATGCAAGAATCACAAGTACTATGACCAGGTGATTGGTGAGATGGCGGTCATGGATGTGAAGTGGTGTGACTTTGTGGTGTTCACATGTGCTGGCGTGCTTGTAGAGCGTATCATGTTCGATGACGCTCATTGGCAAACCATGCTCATGAAGTTAACATCCTTCTACGAGCAGTTTGTTATCCCAGAGCTGTGCTCTCACAAGCTGTACCTTTCAAAGTACAAGTCATGAATGACAAGAAAAAATATTTTTGTGTTTATATTCTGTACATAGGGATTTCAATCTATTTTGCTTCGCTAGATTTTTTGGAACTTTGTACAGCAATGCCCCATCTTCTGCGAGGGATATGCTCGGAACCTTCTCATGTTCCCAGCATTGAAACTTAATTCTGTACATAGCGGTTCCGATCAATTTTTCTGTTATTGTGCGGAATTCTATGGATGACATCGCACACATCCTTGTACCTGTCTGTCATTATAAATATTGGCTGGATATTATGCTACTTCTGGTAGCCCGTACCAACTTGCTTCGGTGACAATCGCGGTGACAGTGCACTCTTTATCACATCCCAACCCCACAAATAACATGCACCCAGCCAGTGACCTGGCAGCATTTGGTATGTTCATATTCACAAGCTTTGGGAATTACACAAAATAGTATTTTGAACCAGAGACCTTTGCTTGATCGTGGCATACGCCACCATTTCCACTTTGCCGCCTGCCATGCGGTGGGGAGTGGAGACAATGCACTCTTTATCACATCACAACCCCACAAACAACACGCACGCAGCCAGTGACCTAGCAGCAGTTGGTACGTTCATATTCACAAGCTATGGCACTTCCAGAAAATATTACTTCGAACCAGAGACCTTTACATGACCGGAGCACTGTGCTTCCGCCGCGCCATGTAGCCGTACTTTGTATTTACATTACATGTGAAGATAGCGTGCGAATCCAGCTCCGATATGTTCAGAAAAATGATTCTAACTGTGCACCTCCCTTCCGGCTCCAGTAATAAGACGAATCGTCTGTTGGAGAAACCGAAGTAAAATAAGAGTGGTTATTATTATTATTATAGTGTGCTGAAAAATAGACCATAATAAAGAGAACAAAAGAAGATAGAACTTGAATATAGTGATTCACATGTCTCTTCAATTTACTAGCGGGGCGTCGAAGTTTGTGAGGAAGAAGCACACTTTCACGATGTGAGACGACAGACTCGACATGCTCACAGGGAACACAGTGTTGAGGACACGGTAGCAACGTGCACGTCCGATAGCCCGTTCGACATGGATACGCAGCTCTGCAATGCGGCGGGTCTTCTCGATCTTCTGGGCGCTCATCTGGCTATCAGCACCGAGCTTTGGCGGGATGTTCAGTTTCACTCCATGGAGAGCAAGAGGCACCTCGATGTCAAAGCCCTTGTCAGCCATGACACTGTCACCCTTCTCCAGAAGCTGCAACAGACCGCTCTGCTCTGTGATGACCTTGTCACTGACTCGGCCACCCCAAACATCCGACACAAAAGTCACAAGACCAGCAGGTGAAACACCTACAAGAATCTTCATGGTGTTCCGGCTCTTGTAGCTGGAGTAAGTGATCGACTGGTTCAGGAGAGAAGTTGGGCGCTCCATCTGGATCTCCAAACAGTCAATGATAATCCTCGTCTGCGGAAACTTGGACTTAAAGCACGGTGGCATGAACTTGTCCACAAGTTGTCTGGACGGGAACGGGAAGAGGAGAGACAGCTCACGGGACAGAAACAGAATCCACGTGGAGTACATCCTGCTGAACGTGGAGTCAGGCATTTGCATCAGGGCTGCCACAAACCCGCCACACATACCATGGCGCAACCGGACAAGCGTCGCAAAGAACTGGTTGGCAATGGACAAGTCCTTGGTCATCCGAGGGCCAGGCTTGTTGTCCTTGGGGTCACTGGTGGAATCACCGCGCCAGGCAGTGAGCTTTGCGGCCTTCTCCTGCACATGACCTAAGACGGCATGGAACACGGAGCGGTTCGGCAGACCAGTGAGGAAGCGACACTTCTCATCAGACTCGTCAATCCAGTGCACACCAAACTGTGCCTTCGAAAGCCCAGTCTCTAGTTCCCCGCAACGCCGCTTTAGCCGTTCAACTTCCGCCCTCAACTTCTTGCATTCCTCTTCCAAACGATCAGTGTCCGAGGTGTAGGGTTCATCAGGTCCACATGCTGTAGAACATGGAAGAGAAAGATAACACAAATCACGTCACAATTGACCAGGGACAAGTGAGATCACAGTACCGGCACATAACATCTAACCCTCCAAATGGGAGTGATGCAATGGAGAAGATTAGGTACGTTTCGTCCATGACGTCCAGGTGCAATTCAAAGAACAGGGATCAGAAACAATCTACCGATATTACACAAGGTCAGGACATCTTAGAAACGTACAATAATTATTGAACCAATATGGGACCCGCAGCATTTTCACTCACTACTGTACACATGCGACAAGAGTTGAAACCAATCACAGATATGACACTACTTGAAGGCCAAGACAGCAGACACCTTACCTGTAGACACCTTGATAGGAGCAATAGTTGGCACTTCAAGATTCAGAAGACTGGACATCCCGGTTGAGTTCTGAGCAACAAACAAGTAGACATACACCTACACTTTATGATTCTCGAAAAAATAATTTAATTCTTCCAGACACCATCATCTAGAAAGAGAAATTTCAAAATGCATCTGAAGAATAACGTCTTTCTGGCCTGGCCAATGGAGTGTGCATGGCCTTTCCAAGAAGGGGACCTTCCAGCATCGTACAACATCGATGCATCAGGGGCACAAGCTGATTGCAACGTATGAAAATCATAACGTACAAACAACTAAATTTTGAATTACTCAACGTACAGAATCAGTCAGAAGTTTTTTCTTACCTTGAAAATAGGAGAGGACAGTTGAAGTTTGGCGAAGTACGAGTGGTCATGAGAAACACCATGTCGTTGGCTTGCCTTCCTTGCCTCTTCTTTCTGCTTCAGCCTTGCAGCATCAGCCAATTTCTTTTTCCTCAGCTCAGTAAACTTCTCACGTCGGACAGAACGATCGATTTTTGACGTAGCTGTTTCAGGGTTCGCGGAGTCATAACCGAGCTTCAAGGACGGCACATAGTCAGGATGGGACTCGTCATCCTTTGCTTCCTTTGCATTCGGATTGCCAAGAACAAAATGCTTCTTGCAGACTCGCTCGTCAGTGTCTGGTGTCCAGGGCGATCCATCAGCTTCTTTACGGCGAATTGCAGCAATCCAGAGTCCCCTGCGCTTGGGATTTGTTGGAAATCGGTGGAAACCACCTCCACAGCCACGCGTATACCTATTTGTGCATCCTATGACGGCACAGGTCTGCACCATGGCTGAAACTAAAAGGAAAGGACGACAAAATAGATCCAACCAACTAAAAAGACAAAGTAACTAATTAGTAGAGTGGTTCTTCTTGCCCACCAAAGTTTGAATTTCTCGGTAACCATAGAGATTCGCGGCGATCCGGAAAGGGGTCTATACACGTAGATGAAGTGAGCATTGCGTAACATTAACATAATGACTAAGCGAGGTATTCTAGAAGATGAGATATCTATATTATGCAATTTAGTCAGCAACATTACTCATAGGGGATATGACGTGGAAGGTCTGGAATAGTCCGGAATAACATGACATACAAGTCATGTACATACTACATGAGTCATGACTGTACCAACTAGTAACTAAAAGGAAGTGATACTAGAAGTGATGACAGCAGCATGCATGGAAGATCTATGATCTTCTAGAAGCGCGGTACTCCTGATGTAATCAAATCATAATATTATGTGAGGTACATGATGTAGGACTTGTCCGAAAGTAGTAACAAGAGTAATTATAAGAGTCATGCAAAGTACTAGTCATGCGTTAACTGTAAAGCAGGGATACTACACTACTAGTAGTAAGCAGCTACATGTACATGTAACTGTGATGCTGAGTTGCTTTACTAAAAAAAAACTGATAATAATACAATGTCATGGTACATGGTAGATGGGCTGTTCTGAGACACGGACAAATCTGAGATACGGGCAGTGCTTGGTCCCAAGGCGGCCGGATAAGAGACATTCGAGTGTACTATTGATAACAACTCACTGAAGACGGTTGCCGGCTGCAGTCAAATAATGCTCAATGTCTCATGCTGCATAGTGCATAGGAATCATCAACAAGAGATCTCTGTTTGAACTCAGAGCCAAGTTGAAAAGCTGTGATTGATCATCGGACAGAGGTCTGGTGTCTGATGTGATCATTTTGTGCGCCAGCTTCAGAGCCATGCCATGCACCTCCTTCTTGATGATTACTGTGATGAACTGTAGCCATGTACCCTGCAGATTTTATCTACTAAGTACATGACATACTATGTGTTGAAAGTACATTGTACACGCAGAAATCAACCATGGACTTTTTGGAAGTTAGTTGCTCGCCGGATATAGTAGGGTGAGAACAACAGCTGCAGGAAACAAGACAGAAGCAGTTGCAAAAACCTTGCCATTCATTACACATTATATCAATTGCATGTCATGGTTTACAACACAATCAGTCTTCGTTATAATATTCAACACAGTTTACATGGTACAGGCAGGCAGGCATAGTGGGATGGTCTAAGGCCATGATTGAGAAACAGAGGGTACCAGGTTCAAGTCCTGCTTGGAAGCGGAAAGAATTTTTCCAGCCGTGCTGCGACCCACAGTTAATTGGGAACTCGTGGTCTGGCACGAGGGTAACATGGATGCAGCTAATGGGATTTCGGTCTTTGACCACTTGGTGGTGGGTCTGATCTACTCACCTCCCACCCTTTAGGCGCTGCATCTGCGCCTTGATCCTAGATGGTGGTAGCGTTGCCACGGCGGATGCGGAAAACTCGGCTTCCAGCCGGGTCTCACGCGAACCGTGACATTTTATATATATTTTATTTTTCCATGGTATATGTACGTAGGAAAAGTACAGACTTGTTTGTACCACTGACGTTTCGCTGTGTTTATAAATAATAATTACACTACCGATGATGGTATCCGCACGACTTCACCATGTAATCACCGTAATCATGCGCCCAGTACTCACATGCGAACTGCAGACCTCCACAGAGAGCGAGTATTCCACCGTAGCCAATATTGCATGTGTGCTGAGAGAGAACAGTGGTAGCAACGATGCTTCCAAGAATCTGCGACACACGCCATACATGTACATGCATGACAAAGGCAAGGGGAATGCATACTATGCGGCATATTCTGAGATAGTGTATTTGCCCATACAAAATTCATAGAGATGATGAGAACACAATTCCGGAAGATTTCATTTTCAACTGGCAGCGATCTTGAGGAATAATTGCTGAAGATATGGATTTCAGCACAATATTCTTTTAAAAATAGGTGAGAGTTTGAGCTTAAGATTGAGCTTCACCTTCAAGCAGCATGGTAATGCGTTGATTGCTGGACACAATGTAAGCCGGTTGAAAGTGTATTGTGTTACAATTAACTGTCCTGATGGCTGCTCACTCACGATGGCCTATCTTACCTGTGACGAAAACAGGAGGCCATAGATTTGTCCAGCGTATTTGGGACCAAAAGTCCTGAATAGTTGAGAAACAAGTGGATGCATAATAGTTTAAAAATCCAAATGACCGTGCTCAGACAATTTACCAGTTACGTCACCATGTTGTCTGAATACATACATGCACATGTGTCTGCCAACCAATCCGGATTCGGCCGGGACTATCCCGATATCAAGGGTGGTGATAGGCACCCAAAGGTGCATTTTTTTGTGGTAAGCCTCACAGCTACACAAGTTTGTATACATTTTCATACCTAGGCATATCACTGTCCTGATCTCAGATTTGCCAAGGTTGGCAGGTACGTGAATACAATGTTACAAAACCTTTAGGAGCACGAATTTGCCTGCCTATTACTCTGATTGCTACAGCGTCTAGATAGGAACACCAATGCTAATGAGGACACTAGAGTGCAAATCATTACTTATTTTTTTAATACTTTGATCCCACTGTGATTGTTACTCTAGATTCACAACCTTTTATCAGTTCGATAACAAAGCAACACAAAGACTGCATCGCAGACTTTGAGATAGCTTGTCGTCACAGGTCCACTTACGTCGCTGTCACCAGGGGCCGAAGCGTGTAGTTTCCACCGATCGAGAAGAACAGAGCTGACACCCAGAGCAGGTAGGCCACCTTGCCCAGGCTCGTGCTGAAGTAGAACGTGATGAGAAGCACTGTGCAAAAACTGCTCAGGATGAGGTTAGTGCTCTGCCCAAGATAGTCAGAGAGGAAAATGCAGCACACAGATACAGAGCACTTGATCCATCAGCGTATCCGCGTACTCTGCACCTTTCCTATTCTTGAATCAACACCAAAGGAATAGTCCGTTTCCTGGCGCCGCTGATGATGGTTGTTGACCATATATAGTAAGGCTGAGCACACAGTACATTGTCACCCGCCGCATCGGAAAGCTGGATTAGCAAGAATCGCTGAGAGTGAAATCAGTGACTGGCTTCAATCTACATTACACATAACATATTTTGGAACTAATACTAGTAGAAGTGAAGGGAAGTGCGGGAGTGCACTCCGACAATGGGGCCAATTCCCAGCATGAATTCGATGGCTTAAACATCGTTTATCTGTACTCCGAAGTACAGTTCAACCTGTCGAAGGGACCACTTTGAAACAGCGACTGCTGTATGACCAGGACAAACAGGACCACATCTAGTGCCATATCTAGCCATGCAGGCATCAAGGGCGGACCCTAAGAACGCGGTTACATGTTTACTGTAGTCAGATGCTGTGTGCAGCGGGTACATTTTTGGGGTTGCGTTTAGATATTGCGTCAAATCCATTCCCTTGCATATCTAATGAGTCATTATGGCAGTCCATGATCGGTGCAGTACTAGTATCCTCAATATACATGTAGATAAACCTTTGTTTTTGTTCAAACATGTTGTTGGTTGGCAGCATGTAACAAGGTGGAGGACACCGTGTTCGGAAACAGTCACCTTTCTACAACCATCCACGGTTGGTAGAGCCCCGGTCGGTTGCGACCATCTGAACCGTATGGGTGTTAGACCTGGTTCTGACCCTCTCTATTCTGGGGGAGTTTTTTAGTACCATGGTCCATGGTTGGTTGTGGAAAGGTGACTGTTTCCGAACACGGTGTCCTCCACCTTGTTACATGCTGTCAACCCACAACACTGTACATGTACATGTAGTATCCACATGTACAGTGCTGCACATTGCAAATCCGATCAAGTGAGTCAATGCCATGCGGGGCGCTGTGCAGTCCTAGACTTGCGAACATTGGGCTGTGAGCAGCTGGTGGAGGGCGCAAATTTGACTCGAGGGATCGTACTTCGGTGAGAAGCACCGTGGCTCCGTTTAGCCTACCTTGTAAGAGTATTTGTCAACCACTGCACCCCAGAAAATCCGCGACGCCATATTAGCCAGCGATGACACGGTTCCAACCATAGCCAGGAAACCATCGTCGGCGATGAAGGTCTGCCCAAATGTCTGCAAACATAGGGGTAGGGGGAAAAGGCAAAACGTGTACATGTACGTACATGTAAGGAGACACATTGCAATGGCATACCGAACTGACGCAAATCTACACACAACCTTTAGCTCCACCAATAAGGCCTCGCGCATTGTATATGACACGGCGAGTATCCACACTAACCAGACACTACATTTGTAGCAATAATATCTGACTCTAAAGCGATTGTTTATAAACACCTGGCCTGTCTTGACCCACCTTGTAGATATTTATCACATAAACAACTGCCTGTCCATTGAAGAGGAAGGTCAACCACAATACTGGGAATATCAGTGTTCTCATTGCTTCCATCGGTCTCAGACTCCGTCCAAACAGTCCACTGGCGTCGGTCGACGAATCATGTGAAGTAACTGGGATTTCCCCAAGCTGCCAGGCGAAGCAGAGCATAGTGCAGTCTATTTGGTACTTGGGCGAGGTGCGTTGACTTTCAACATCCTGACTCTTCTCTTGAGCAGGCTACACAAATAACATAGCCAGGAACAACACGAAAATATTCGTTATGAACGACCAGCTTTCTACCGAAAGTTAGCTTAGTATTATCACCGAGATTGTCACTTGTACTCACTACTAACTCGTAATATTTGCTAATGCATTTGTACGAGCATGCCTATTTTACGCCTTGGAATTTCAACTCTAAAAATTGCAATCAAAGTGGGGTTAAGGATTAGAAGAATAGAGTAGGAGTATGGCCTACCTCTTTTTCAGGTGGTGGAGTCAGCAACAGCAAGCAGCCTGAAAGCTGTAGACCTAAATAGATGCCACCCAACATTAGATAGAGGCCAGGTGCGCGCTGCAGTAGAGATGCATCATTGAAATATCTAAGACACACAGAGATGCAGTGACAACATGAAACGCAGTCATGTAACGTTGCGGATGGACTTTGAGCCGCCCACACCATTGTTCAACTGACAACATAGACCTATAAATAATATCAAATGTCTTATGGGAAACAGTCAGGGGTAGGCTTCCCCCAAGTCGGCCCGTTTTTCGTCTATTCGGCTTTTCGCTCGGCTCAACAATACATCAGATTCGGCAGCAAAATCAGCTGATTGTTTGAAAATCGGCTGCGAAATTGGAATAATTATATTCGAAAATTGGCTAAAAGAATTATTGGAATATTGGGGTTCAAAATTGGTGAGATATTGGAAATACAGCTCTGCTGGCCATAGCTGTCCGTTGTAGTGTATCATTCGTTCATGAACCCATTTCTCAACAACATTAAATTTTGGTAGATTTTCTGCCATTCTCAAAGGAACCCTCCAAAATCGACGAAAAGCTTAGCGATTTTTGGACAAGTCTCGTTTAGGCGAATTTTTCGCCCGGCCGATTTGGGGAAAGCCTAGTCAGGGGAAGCGAACTGCCTAAAAAGAGAAAAAAAATGCCAGACCCACCAGGACTCGAACCAGGGACCTTGCTTGTCATGAGCAATGCTCTAACCAACTGAGCTATGGGAGCAGGCCGAATGAGTCGACAAAGTTTTTCACTCCAAAGGCATCTCACAACACTTGCCACACATACTGATGGCACTTGGGTCTTTTTCTTACCCCGGGGGACCAACCACAGTTAGTTCCTAGAATTTACTACCAGAGGTGAAAGAAAGTGATTAATTGAAATGGGAATGGGATGAACTTCAAACTCAAGGTAAACAGTCAGGGGAAGTGAACTGCATGAAGAGAGAAAAACAATGCCAGACACACCAGGACTCACGGGGCACATATTTTAGGGCTGAGACCATGCTACAAGACAATGCATTCGAACCTGTGTTGAATGACCGCCCATCTCGTCCGAGAAGCGGTAATGTGTGCGCTTTAGGGTGGTTTGGGAACACAGGCTTCACTGAATATTCTAGACTATAGTCTGGAGTAAGATTGAACTGAAAATGCACAGTCATACGCCGGAAGTTCTTTTTTAAAATTAAAGCAGTGCACTCGAACTGAGCCGCTCCAGTACTCACAGCTCGTCTTCTTGACAGCTGTCGTTTGCCTCTCCTTTCACATTCGGCACCAGATTGTCCGGGTTGATGTACAGCGTCTGTACTTGCGTAAAAATGCTGCTACTTGCGCCGAAACCAGCCACCACAATGCCACTGACCAAACCTTTGTGATTAGGGAGCCACTGTAGAAACAAACCAAGCCAGTGCAGAGCAATACTACTGAAGACTACTGAAGAAGAAACACAAACTTAAAGGAGAAGTTAAGGCGTAAATCAAAATTTCACCAGTTGTAGTCTTCGGGGTGGTGAGTCGAATGGTCTTGGTCCGAGGAAGCTGAGACGCTCCCTTCCTACTTTAATCCCAATCGAACTCGCGCACTTCCACCGAAACTGGGTGACTGCGCCCTACTAGATGAGGATCAGGATTTGTATGCAAAATGTCACTAAAAGCGCCATTTCGTTCTTATAAAAGCACGGATGACCGCGATTGGCACATATGTTGTAGTCTTTTGGACGCTGAGTCGACTGGTTTTGGTCCGAAAAGGCTGCGATGCAGAGTTCGGCCCTTATTCCCAATCGAACATGGTTGAACAAGCGGTCACGTGCTCCTGCGTACACCAGTCACCTGGTCACCGTGCCTGCAGGGTACAACTTACTAGCGTGTTTGACCTTTTTTGGGTGCAGTCCTGTCACTCGAGTTGAACTCGAGTTGAACCTTGGTGTGAAAGTTGTCGCCTGCTGGCACGGTGACCAGGTGATTTGGGCCCCCAGGAGAACGTGACCGCTTGTTCAACCATGTTCGATTGGGAATAAAGCAAGCTAAATGCAATTTTTTTAATTGCAATTTTCCGCTCAGCAAGCCTTCACAGCAGCTAACCTTCATTGCATTGAGAATAGGGTTGATGTAGATGATTCCATTGCCCAGTCCCACCATCAGACCATACGTCAGCACCATCAGCCTGACGTCATGGCATGTGTAGTACGTCAGAGCTACTCCCGAGCTGCATGAGGATAGCCACGCAGGTGCAGAAACAGAAATCAATCCTGAAAGGTGCTGGCGGCACCGCAGTGATCATGGTGATACATCATCCTTTTCCCCGGCTGAGCGGCCGATCTTCTGTAGTCTACCATGGTCTACGTAGCACTCTACAAGATAATCACTCATAGACTGTGACAGAGTAGTGTAGAACTACTGAAACACTTTCCTTTCAGAAAGCCATCAGTGACTGGTCCCTCTGTACAAAATTTCATATAATGGGGTCGCCAAGATGATTATGAAATTTTCATTTCAGGGCCACTCAGATTCAAGTCATGAGTCGGAAATGTTTTTAATAATACTAGAACAGTGTATTCCAGTTAAGATCCATGTCAACAAGAAACATGGCCGCCCGATGTCTGTTTTATACAATCCATAGTTCTGGGCAAAAATTACCCACAGTACAAACTACACAGCAGATAGCAAGAATAACTGCTATGCATCAAACCAAGAGTGCATAAACTGTTTATGGACTCTTGATCGAACGTATCTACTTCCATGAGGCTGCAGGCTACTGGTACAATGTAGATCTACAAGTACAGACAAGTACATGTCTATTGGTGTTAGATTCGTCGAGAATTGCACGAGGCTGCTACTGCCAGTAGCTACTGGCTGTGATGCTCACATTGTGCCCGACTGATTAGCAGAGCTTTCCCATGAGGGTCAAAGTCATGCCTCACAGTATCTGGTCAGAGCATAGGTACTGAATCACGTGACAATTTTCAACCATAATTTTCTTTTGCTACTATACAGGCACAAGGCGCAACTAACCACCAAGCAAGGCACCTTATTTGTCCAGGATACATACATTTTAAGGCAACCAATGACAGAAAGTACCTGCTGATCACGCTCCCGAGTAGGACTGTGAGGCGACAGCCAATCTTCCGACCTAAGTAACCACCAAACACCTTGGCAACAGCGAGTCCGATGATGAGCGCAGTGTAGATCCAGACTGAGGTCTGAAAGTAAGAGAAGATTCCCATAAATCAAAGAAGAAAATAGCGTAGTCATGGCAGACTCCACTGCAACTGTGCTTGCGTTACCATGGTTACCTAGCATGACGATAGTACAGTTACTACAACTTTTTGGCGTTTTGTTTCATTGATTTTGATGTTAAAAGGGGATTAGGGACTCTTGGATCTTTCCCCTACCAAAAAAATGTAATGGTACCGTTTAATACACATACACTTGTTTTCATTTTTTGGTGTTGTGTTCTAATCATTCGCCATGCCACTGTCAATTGTATTCTGTTTGCCCGTAAAGGAGGCCTTATTTTTTTACAGTTACTACTTCTACATAGACCGTGTGAGTTTGATGACAAGCATATCAGATACAAGTATGCTTGTCAATTATCATCAGCTGAAACATGATGATGATCTGACGTTCCGGCAGTTCGACTCCCTCTTAGGCCTGTCCGAAAAATGTGTTTTAATTTGCGGAAAATGGAAATGCAAAATGCACGGTTTTCCAGCCAACATTCAAACAAGAAATCAAAGGGGAATGTAAAAAAAATCAAAAAATCAAAGCCAAACAACCCAAAACGCAGAGAAAATGCATCCGTTGCCATGGCAACCAGAATCTAAAATGGCCGCCATGCCATGTTAATCACAAAATTATTGGTTTTCCATGTGATTTTTCCGGATGTCACACTGTACATGTACAGGTACATTGTATATGTAGCAACAAGTACCTCTAATCATGTCACATGTACACGCACTGCATGATCATAATCTTGTCACCCCTTTTGCTGACAAGCCTGCAAAGCTAATCATTTCTCATCACTGCAACTTGTGCAAGTCACTTGTGTTTCCCTTACGCTTGCTGGATTACAGTTAGGAGTACCTGTACTAGAACACATCTTTGTAGTTTTACATCATCACACCTGCATGTACATGACTGTACAATGTTATGTAGAACTAAACACCCATGTGTTCGCATTTGTGTGATTAGGAGGCCAGTGCAAAGTAAGGCTAGTGTATCAGCCAAGGCAAGAGGAACAGAAGACACCGAAATAGCAAGCGGAACTTGACTTGGTCGAGCTGAAACCTTGGCTGAAACCTTGGAATTCGACCGAAAATGGGCAAAATTCAGAAAAAATGCAAAAATGCAAAATGTACCCCAAAATGCAAAAAAAATTCAGAACATTTTTCGGACAGGCGATCACAGAGTCCATTGCTGTGTTACGTCATGTACTTGCACATGTATCTTATCTAATTAGTATCCAGTATGATCAATGTTGACCGTGGTAACTTTACCCCGCTTGTCTTCACCACGGCTGGCAGTGCATCCCCAGAATGCTTGCGGTTTTTGAAGCGATTATGCGCTATGCTGGCACAGCATGATGGCAAGCCCTACGGCGAGGTTATGGCCTATGTCAGATGCCGTCTGTCGTTTGCACTCCTCCGAGCTGCAGTTATGTGCATCAGAGGGGCTCGCTCTGCATACCATCGACCGGTAAATGCATTGCGCCCACTAGCCATGGCTGAGGGACGGATGTAACAGTGGTGTGTATAACCTCGCTAATGGCAGTGTCCTCAATGCTAATGGACGCGTCATGTTTTTGTTTATAATTTAAGGTGCAATTTAGCGCTGATGTGGGTATTTCTTTGCTTTTCATCATTTGGTCCTTTAAAATGAAGCGGCTTTTTATTTCCTTTTTTCTTCTTTTGCACCGAGATATTATTTCTTGCTGTTTTTTACCGGATGTGTCACGACTTTGAATTGAATTGAATTTTCCTGAATTGATTTGATTTTTAGCGTTATGAGCGGCTTTATTGACATTGCCCTTCAGATTGGATTTTTTATTTTTTAATAAACAAAGAGTGCACACATCTTGCTGTTATTTCTAACACCTTTCTACTTATCAATGTCAGTCTGGAGCAATGCATGATGGATAGGAAGTGAGGTGTTTGATCCAGTATGATCCGAGGGCAGAATATAAGTGTCTTCAGCTTGGATGGATTCTAACTTCACGCCCTACACGTATATTCCTGACTCGACTGCCTTTCTCATCTTCGTCCTGTTTTTCATCTGATTGTGAGATTTCGCAGTAAAGAGACCAATATGAGATTGGGTTATGTGCATGAACATCTACTAAACAACAACACTCGGGATTTGTAACAATTTGCGTTTGTAGTTATTCTCCTCGAAATACAAAACCCAATGCAGGAGAACCCATCAACATACTCCATAGGTCAAGTTAGTCTGTTCCCCGTAGACACGTATGTAGGATGTGATGTAAGGATTCATATTACCTGCAGTGTGGCCCCGGGAAGAAAAGGAAAAAACGGCACACATAGAATTACACACTTGATACAGTCATATTCACATGAGAGTACATGAATCTTTGGAAGGGTTGCACCCTCTCTTTACTTTAGGTGTAAGGGAAGGAGCTGATGCTACAATGCTGCTAACGTTATAATCATGTAAGTAATTTCTACTTCTGAAGTATGATGCAATATCTCAAAGGTGTCTCAGGCATGTTGGGACCAATGGGTGCTAGTATTAACAAAGTGATCAATGCATTATGACTTGACAGGATATACCGGTATACATGTAAATATCAGCTTACACAAGATTTCATTCCTATACTTCACGTACCGAATGTAAAGTAGCTCCCAATTGATAGATGTGTGAGAATGCCACCGAAGACTGCGACCCAGGCTTTTGGTCGGTGGATATCTGGGAATTGTGACAATGAAACAATAAAGCAGTCTCTCTCTATTTCTCCTCTCTCTCTCTCTCTCTCTCTCTCTCTCTCTCTCTCTCCTCTCTCTCTCTCTCTCTCTCTCTCTCTCTCTCTCTCTCTCTCTCTCTCTCTCTCTCTCTCTCTCTCTCTCTCTCTCTATCCATCTATCTCTCCTCTCTCATCATGCATGCGTCACACTCTCATGTAATATTTCTCTTATAAGATTTCATGCTTCACACTCTCATGTCATATTTCTTTCCTTTCCTCATCTTTTTGTGAGAACCTGGACATTCCACTTGTCCAGGCAAGAAGGCAGCAATTCTTGTTCATTCTGGCGAAGTAAAATAAAAATAATAATACCAACCAGCCAACCAACCACCCAAACATAAGGAGTACTACAAGAGGGTAAGCAGCAGCATTTGGCAGTCGAAAGTTCCTATGTTGAAATTCTTTCTTAGTGACCGAAACAGCTGCCAACACGCATAAGGAATAAATCTTCAGTGCTCGAGGGAACCCTTTGTTGCTGTTGTGGGCAAGCGAGGGTATGTTTGTGGTCGGCCACAGAGCGCAATGGTGGTGGTAAATGCCAACGCAGGAATACCATCACGCGAATAAAACATCCTGATGAACATTCTGATGGTTTTGAGCATCCCAGCAAAGCAGATAAGAAGATGGCCGAGAGGTTACTTGATGTGACCAATATTATTAGCCCATGCAACTGACCTCCGATATTCTGCGTATAGCGGTCTAACTGATCATGTCTACCACATACCGTGAGCATGGGTTTGATTGTGAGTTGTGTTTTGACTTGCCAATTTCGGGGTGCTGTGGATAACCCTGTGTGTTTGTGTGTGTGTGTGTATGTATGTGTGTGTGGTGCGTGTGCGTGTGCGTGTGTGTGCGTGTGTGTGTGTGTGTGTGCGTGTGTGTGTGTACGTGAGTGAATGTAGGACGGCCATTGATGATCTTTATTGACAGCTATCGTTATTCATATTTTATGGAAATTGAATTACCTAAGACAGTGTTTTTATCTACAGCGATCTCACATTTCAAGCCCACATGCACTTCACAGATGCCTCCACCTTGCCACTGGCAGCGAGGAGGGGGTAGAACGACATCACGGCTTATTCTCTTACGATTTGCATGTTTAACGGTAGCGATGAGGTGTTCCCCTTCATTCTTGCTGTTGGCGATGCTATCAACGGTACTATACGCCCTCGCCTTTTGCTCTGTATCAGACGCGATCGAAAGAGAATCCTCCGGACTGGAAGTCATCATGGCTGTAATGGCTTCAAGTGCTGCCCCACCGTCCTAGCGGAATAGCTACATAATACGTTGCACTGGCCAGAAAGAGGAGAAAAATTTGTTTGGACCCATCGATATAATCCTCCCGTTTATATATCACCTGTTTCATGTCTGCTTAGGGTTTGGGGAGCAGTGCTTATGGAATCGTGCTCAGGCGTCATGGTGTATCTGGATATGTTTTCCAAGACGGCTTCCAGGTGTTTTGCTATTCCTGTCCCGAGAAAGCAAAATATCCTGTTTGCAGTATCTTCTTTTATCACCGGTATCCGGCTTGAACACGGCCAAAATAGAGGTTCCCTCAAGTTCCCACCACTACAAATGTCATCCTTGTGTGTACGGGCTTACGCGCACGGCGCGGCTTCCCGGTAATCGGACTGGGGAAACAAACGCTCAATGATATCATGCAACGTAGCCACAGTGCCCGATGCGGTTATTGTTTTCCACAGCAACGGGTGCATTCCAACGCGACGCAGAAAGCGGACGATCAGAAGTCATGGTCTAGGAATTCGTGCCCGTGGTGACCCGCCATACTGAAAGGATCACGTTCACGCGAAGTACACCGATCTCCTTCTGAATGAGATACATGCGGGTCTTGAAGATGGCAGAGCAAGTGGGCATCCTATGTAGATTGTATTAATAATTATTGTAAAAAAATATTTAAAAAACCCTCAAGTAGCATGATCGTCCTTCGTTACGAAAAGCCATTGGCATACATGATCATCATCACCATCATAATCACAAGCCCATAGCCCTAAGGCCGTCGGTGCGTCACAGAGCAAGTATGAACAAGCGAGCGCCATAAAAACCGATCGCGTTCAGCAGCGAGCAGGGACTGCATGTAGATGCTAATCCTAAAACTAAAATTCTAATACTTGACAACATGATTGTTCTCATGTGATGAGTCAGGTCTTAAAATACGCCACCTTGAAACTATAGTAGATTAAAATTGCAGAAGGATTCCATGATTGGGCTGCTGGCAAGCTCGATAAACCCATCATGCCGGCCCCTCACATAACTAGAGGTACATGACTGTATTGACTATTGGGGACAGCAGAAGAACTACCGCGAAGGGAAAACAAAGCTGTTGGCATTACATCACCTGCACAATGACTCTCCACGAATGACTCTCTACGATACATACATGTACACTGTACCTATAGACTGTACAAACATGTTTGCATTCATCTGATACTACTGTCACGTGCCGGTATGTCCAGGGGCATATGGAAATTGACAGGTCCTGTCGTTTGCTACGTCTCGTACGTGTGTGTCTCGGATTTAGGACAGCTATGGGCGCGAGGGCCACGTGCTTGACATCACTATGGCAACTTCGAATATTGTTGTGACAAGATCATGTCAAGATCGAAAGATCGGAACATCACCGCAAAACAAACACATGGACTATACATGTAGTTGAGAACACACACACACAAACACAGATACACACACATACACACGCACGCACGCACAAGCACACACACGCACACACACTCACTCACTCGTACCCACATGCTTCTCACTGGCTCTTATTGTCATATCAGCCCAGGATGCCAAGTATTGGGAGAGAATGGGAGACTGTCAGGGACCGAAGAGAGAGAGAGAGAGAGAGAGAGAGAGAGAGAGATAGAGATAGGGAGAGAGAGAGAGAGAGAGAGAGAGAGATAGAGAGAGAGAGAGAGAGAGAGAGAGATAGATAGAGAGAGAGAGACAAACATGATTGTTATAGATGTCTTGCTAGATGTAGCGGGGTAGAGGTACGCATTTAGCTCAAGGTATTCCCTGCAGGGTTATTCTGGATCATAGCAAGTAAGTACTTCGTAGTCTCCTCCTAACATTTCGTATCATGTACCTGTCACTCCTTTCATTTTTTCTTTCCTTTTTTGGTGCGTTTTATGTCCCCATGACGTCGAGACCTCAGGTCGACAGAGGGCAAAAAGCCTCACCATCACTATGCTCCCACTATGCAATTTTTTATCTTTGCCTGTGAGCTGTCGTTTTTCGGAAACCATTCCTTCGACCATTGACTTTATAGGGGATTTTGCCAGTGTGTGTACATTGGTCTCTTGGAGACGACACGTATGTGTGCATTTGGTGGCCAGCTGCCAACGTGGATGACATAATCCATCAGTAATCGTACTCCTAACCCGCAATAATTGGCAGGGGCCTGCGAAAACTATCTCGACTGTAAAGAGTTTGCGCTTCACGTGTTTTCAATTTCGAACTTGAGAAAAATGTAAGTTGAATCGCTTCCTTCACCGTGAGTGAGAACTAACGTGCGTTGAATCGCTTTGTTTCACTGTAAGTTGGCCCTCTGTCGCGTTGAGATCTCACGTTGCAACGTGAGGAGCGCCACTTTTGCTGTGAGATCTCACGTTCGAAGTTGAAAACCGTGAAGCGCAGACTCTGTAATATCCAGATTTATCCGCACACCACCAGGGCAGTAGTATTGCAGGATGGCCCCTAGTCCAGTTCGTCGGTATATCAATGATACGGAGCCGGACCAGCTAGCTGCCTGTGGCATGTCCATCTTGCATGCAGTTCACAATGACCAGTAGCCAACTAACATACAACCTAACCCTGTTTACCACCACCAAGCCCAATGCATCATCACCTTGGCGTCCGTGTCTCTTGCCCTGACGTCTGCAGACTATTGCTTTGAGGCGTGGGGGTCGCACGTGAAAGGTTATTGTTTGAGCTCTTGCCTTAGTTACTATCCTCCCCTCGGGATATTTGGCCTCTCATGTCTGCTAGAAAATGCAGGTTGTTACAACTGCAAATCAAGTAAAACTGCCCTTGAAAGTGTTTGACAAACCGATTTATCATGCAGCTGCCACCTCCTTCAATGACGAATTTCCAACCGGATGATGTAACCACTACGAAGCGCGGTTGACTGAAGTGGCTCTATAAAGGGCACGGCTACGTTGTCGAGAAGTCAGGGCGGGACGAGGTGATCTACAAGGATTGAAGATGCGACCGCAAAGACGGACTAACTTTAGACTGCATAGGACGACTGATCTCTCAAGACGACGATACTGTACACAAAATTGTGAGCTCTAAAAGTGTTGTTCGTGACGGGGTTGTATTTTGTGAACTGGTCATTCGGTCAATGACTCAAAGCGACATCTGTTAAATGTCTTTCGGCGTGGAAAGCTCTCTTTGAATGTGATTTCGGTGAGTTGTCTTTTCGGTGAGGCATGCATTTCGGTGAAATGTCGTACTGTGAATCGTCGTTCGAGGAAGAGTCGTTCGGTACTTGCAAGGGGCCATAAGTACAACAAAATACATGAGTGTCCCCATACCAAGGTGTCCATGCATGCTAGAGATCAACCTTGAAAAGAGAAAACATTACTTCTTCTACTCATTAGTTGACTTCTTTTGTAAAATGATTTTTCATTGCCAAATTAGTTTTGAACTCCCTTTGAAAATTATCATGTAGTCGTCACTCGTCCAACCGATGTCACCCTCACCCTGCAAATAGTCACGTATCTCTTTCGTACCTCCATCTCTCCTTCCAACATGGCCGAGCATCAACTATACCTCAATTTTTTAATTATTATTATTATTATATCCATAGCCTGCACGTGCACAGTCATGGCTGCTAATATCCAGAGGTCATGACTTCGTAACATGCAAATGTACATGTACGCGGAGTTTTGCGGACTACCCGTCATTATCTCGTCCGCCCCGGGATCCCTGATAAAGGCTGATCCACTCGCATCTTCTGCTACATGTACTGTGTCAGTGTGAGAAAGAAGTTACTTTGAAGAAGACGAGTTCGAGCATACAATAATGTATTGCCATGATTTCTACCCTGCTTTTCATTGAACACACTATATGCATGACCTCCGAACCATTCACCATGCAGACCACCAGCACTGATCAGGTGCACTGTACACAATTGTGCAGCCTACATACTACTAGAACTGTAGTACAATCATGTAGTTATGCGCCTACCCCCTAAAGGATGCTGAATTATGCTCCAAATTTTCAACCACAGAATTATGCCTATAATTATGCCGGCATAATCTGCCGGTGCCTAGTACGAGGCCATTAATTTTAAGTTCCATTCGCTGTCTGCTGATCAGTGATCGAACTAGCAGCTAGAGGTCATACATGTAACAGTTACTTACTTACAAATGTAGTTCCAAGATAGGTCCAAGTGAAAGACAACCAAAACAAGCCATGCATCACGTTATAAAGCCTTAAAAAGGGTACAACACAACTCAGAGTAAGAACCAATCAAAAGGTGCAACAGGAATGCACCAGCAGTGTCCAGGATGAACAGACTGTGCATGTGTGACAGTATCAAAGGTAGGCATGGGCGGGTAATGCTAGCATTATGACTGGCATTATAGTCCCTTTTTTCCAGGTGGCATAATGCTGGCATTATAACACCATTTCGCATGCAAAATTGGCATTACAAGCATAATTGCCGGTCGACAATGGTGTCATGCATGAAGCTGGCTAGGTCCAGTTCCGAAAGTCGTGCATCTGAACCCGTCCGGCTTCGCGTCCGGAGACTTGACGTTGCAAATCAAATTTCTCAGTGGACTGTTTCAGACAACATGCTCACTGCTGTTTAAGTTTTTTTCTTCTACGCTTTGGCCTTGATCCAAGACGGCCTTCTTAAATCGACTTTTCCAACTTTCAAACTGGCATTATCGTCAGGCGAAATAGCACGTCATAGTACATTCGAGATCAGCGGGAAGAAGATGACGACGTCCACTAATTTAGTATCTGTGCACACGAATCTGCTGTGTGTGTTACTCTGTGTGTCAGCTATGGCATCATCGCCTGTGGTTCCATGCCTAGCATGTACGTTTGAACCATCCTGCAAAGTTTGAATGACGTAGGTTGAGCGATCGCTCCGCGAAACATACTTTTCGAAATTCTCTTCATAGTATATCTTCCACCATTGAAATTTCGAATTTCTTCGAATTTTTTGCTGAAAGCGGTGGCTTGCAACCTCGATATGGCTTGTTCCAGGCATGCTTTGGAGCCATCGCCTGTTGAAGTAGTGGCGGGGATCTGCCCTGCAACTGCT